ATTTAGCCAGCTCTGTTCCTATTAGTGTATGGACATAGGGTCAGGCTCTGCCAAAATGGAGACAAGCTTCTCTTCTTTTAAGGGGAGTTGTTCAGGTGGTCCTCCACAAGCCTTGCAAGAAAACAGAACCTTATGAATCCTGAGAGAATAAGACAAACTCTGTATGTAGGACCTAGTTACCCATATTACCTGTACCAGAACAGAGAAGTTGTAGCTGCCAGGGAGGAGGAGGGCAGCTCGAATGGGGCATGCTCTATAAGCTCTGACTCAGGACTTTACTTTGAACTATAGAGAATTTTTTCCTTCTGCCTGTCTCTATCTCTGTCTCTCTGTCTCTGTCTCTGTCTCTGTCTCTGTCTGTCTGTCTCTCTCTCTGTCTCTGTCTCTGTCTCTCTCTCTCAATTCCACACAATCAGCATGAATTCACCACAAGTTGTGCAAAGGGACTTAACTGGTGGTTAAAAGAAGATACTACTTGGGTTCTCTAAAGATTTGTACCCATCACACAAACCCATGGCACATTTTAAACTTTTCTGGTGAGCAGAAGGCACAGCTGAGCAGTAGACCACTTGCCTAACTCTCACCAGGCCCAATGTTCAAGCACCAAAGAGAAACCCAAACAAAATTAAAAACTAAAACTAAAGCTAGTATTTTGCTTGTGTTTCCTTCCTTTCCTTACTTGTTCTCTGTCTCTTTTCTGTGCCACCCCCTCCTCCTTTCATCACTCAGGCAGAAGTTCAGCAGATGCCTTGGGCAGTCCTAGTGGGCATTCTTGATTTCTCAAGCAGAACTTGTCCATTTCTGGAATTCAGAAATTTTAAACTCGGTAGCTATACCTCTTTTAAGTGTTTAATGGTTAAATCTTTCCCCCAATTTATTCATTTGGTTTACATTATATATGATTCTTGGTCCTGTGGTGACAGAGATAGTACTTATAACTTTCCATGTTTTAATTGGTGCTACAGTTTGTAACTTTTGTGTTAATCTGTGTTGGTAATATTAGTTTATTGATTTAAAGCTCTATAGATCATATGCTGCAAATATTGTTATGATTTATCTGATCTAATAATGATGTCTAATAATTCATGGTGTTACTTTACCCTTCTATTCCATCTTTCACCTGCCATCTTTCCCTTGTATGTATGAATTCATGTATGGTGTAACTTTCAGAGTGGAAGTCCTGGGTTGGGGAGATGGCTCAGTAGAATAAGCGCTTCCCTGGAAAGTGTAAGCATCTGAGTTCAATCCCTGGTTCCACAAAAAACAAAACAAAAACAGAGTGGAAGTCCTGTATTATCCCGTGGAAGTCCTGGATTACCCAGTGGAAGTCCTGGATTACCCAGTGGAAGTCCTGGATTACCCACACAGCCCACATGCCTGATCGTGCTCACAGTGCGTGCTCAGCACCTGACAGATGTCATGAAGCCTGTGACACTGGGCTCCTTTTGCTTCTTCTCTAGGGCTAGATTATGATATTGTGGAGTGCTTTTGCATTGTATGACATTAGCACACTGTTAGCTTAACAGTTGATAGGCATTTAGACTACTTCAAGTTCTTGACTACTATGCCTAATTCTCCTTTGAACCACAGCACACCTATTGTGTATATGTGTGTGCACACACATGCATGTGTGTTCTTAGTGCATAGTTATTATACAGTGTGTTGATTTTGAACGTGGCCTTCACACACACTCACTAGCATGCTGTGATCACATTAATCTTTCAGGCCCTCCTTTCTCCTACGCTCTAAGCCCCCTCCTATGGTTTAGTCTCCCACTTTTATGTTATCTTTGCTTTTTTCTGAGATTCCACATGTTAGGGAAAGCACAACATTCTTGTTATTCTAGGTCTGGGTTATTTTACTTAATATGATGATTTCCAGCTCCATAGTTTCATAGTTCCCTGAAAATTTGATTTTGTATTTCTTTCTGGCTTACACTCCATTTGTGTATTAGTAACACATTGTCTTTATCAGTGCATCTGCAGGTGGGCACCTGGACTGGTTCTATAACTTGACTACTGTAAAGTGCGTCTGCTATTCTTATAAGGACGCCTTGGTTTTTTGTTTTTGCTTTGTTTTGTCCTTCACCTCCCTTAGATACATGCCAAGGTTTGGAATTGGCAGGATTAAAGTTTTACTCTTGTATTTATTTTGTGCAGGGTCTCACTATGCAATTTTGACTCATAGTGATCCTCCTGTTTCAGCCTCCCCAGATCTGGGAATACAGGATGGCACCACCACATCCAGTGTTGGTGGCCAGCTCAGCGCAAGACTGGCATGACGTGTGGGACAGGGACCAAACCCGGCTCCTTGCACTTGCCAGGCAGGCACTTAGGCCACTGGGCTATTTACCCAGCCCAGAATTGCAAAGTTTAGTGGGAAATGTTCAAAATGTTCAACTTTTAGCTGAGAAATTTCTGTTTTCCAAAGTATATGCAAGGTTATGCACTCTCATAGGATCCATATCATGGTTAAGATGAATTTCTATCCTCAAACATATTCATAAAAGTGATCATAATACTAGGGATAATTTTTATTAAGGTCACACTGTCTTATATAGTTTCCATTTTATTCCTCAAAGAGGGAGATTTGTGGAAGGGAATAACTTTGGAACACATTCTACTAACAACATGAGACGATCTTAAATAATTCTCAACTGTTTGTGGTTCTAATTCTACAAACAATTACACTAGAGATTTTAATCAACAATTAATGAATACTAACATGTTTTTTATCAAAATAAATATGCTACGGGTCACAGTTGAAAGACTTAACAACTGGGATCTGCTCTTACTGAGAAGTTTTTTCACGTCAAAAGAAATTACCAATAAAGTGAAAAGGCAACCTACAAATTTGGAA